GGGGCGGCTGCCGTCGGGCAGGGCGCGAAGCGGCTGCGATGTTGGGTCTGACCCGTTAGTGACTTGCCGCAACCCCGGCGAACCTCTTCCGTAACGGCGCCGTTTGTGTCCCTTAGGAGCTGAAGATGAGCAAGCCCGTAACGACTTCAACGTATGTCCGCTGCATTAGCTACGGGCTCATGAGGCGGCTGGCAGATTTCATCGATCCGCAAGAAGGGTGGAAGAAACTAGCAGTTGATATAACTGATCCCTCCGGTGAAAGCAGATACGACCAAATGCATATAAGGTCCTACATAGAAGTCATGTAACGTAATCTTGTTTATTAACTGTTTAACATAAATACCATCGTCCATCGCATACCGTTGTGCATCCCATTACTGTAACTTGTTGCAGTTTGTGTGCTGACAGGTACTTAAGAACTCATCTTACAGTACTGTTTCCTTAGGGAACTCAAGGTAATTACTCTTAATTGCTCCGTAGTTCAGTTTTCAGACAAGCTATAGCCAAAGAAAATTGACTAAGGAAATTAGAATTAATTAGAGCCACGGACATATGTATTTTTAGCAATACAGCATTGACTGTGTAACTTTCTGTACCCTAGAGACTAGTAAACCTTGACTTCATTGTGCATCTTCACACAAGAACTGCACATGAGACAACTCGTGTTAGGGAAGTGATCGTGCCCCCGTACTCGGCACTGGTGAGGCCGCACCTCAAATACTGTGTTCAGTTTTGGGCCCCTCACTACAAGAAGGACGTCGAGGTGCTGGATCATGTCCAGAGAAGGGCAACGAAGCTGGTGAGGGGTCTGGAGAACAAGTCTTATGAGGAGCGGCTGAGGGAACTGGGGTTGTTTAGCCTGGAGAAAAGGAGGCTGAGGGGAGACCTCATCGCTCTCTACAACTCCCTGAAAGGAGGTTGTAGCGAGGTGGGTGTCGGTCTCTTCTCCCAAGTAACAAGCGATAGGACGAGAGGAAATGGCCTCAAGTTGCGCCAGGGGAGGTTTAGATTGGACGTGAGGAAAAATGTCTTTACTGAAGGAGTGGTTAAACATTGGAACAGGCTGCCCAGGGAAGTGGTTGAGTCCCCATCCCTGGAGGTATTTAAAAGACGTGTAGATGAGGCGCTTAGGGACATGGTTTAGTGGACATGGTGGTGTTGGGTCGACGGTTGGACTCGATCTGAGAGGTCTTTTCCAACCTTAATAATAAGGATTCTAATAATGAACTGGACTGTAACTCTTAATTCACTGTTCCCAAGAAAATGTCCAGCAAACATGGGGAGCTCGAGGCCTAAAACTAACAAGTTTAATTCAGAAGTAATGTCAGCAGTATTTTATGAACACCTTGTTGTTTGAAGGGCTTGTTGAATGCTTAAGCTATTTCAAAGGTTATGAGATTTTAAATACCCTATGTATCATCTGGGGTTTCTAGTCTTTCTCATGATGTTAGCATTAAATCTTCATTTGTCTTTCTATAATAATAATAAATCAGTTAGAGTAATGGATCTCAATTTCTGCTTACTGCCCATCTCAAGATACTCAAAATGAAGTCTGAATGCCAAATGGATGGAAAACACTTGAATTTTTTTCCATTTGATCTGGCTCTGACTTGCCCTCTGTCTCTCGCTGACATTCTCTTCTCTGTTAGTCCCATGTGCTGATATATTATGGGTCCTGGACAAAATGTTGAAGCCATGTATACATATTTTTCCCTTAGTTTTTCTCATATTTTGCATATTTTTCCCCTGAGTTTGAATTTCTTCAGGTTTTTTAGCTGCATTTTCAGAAGATTTGCAAATAATTGTACAGTTCAGTACATTCAGGCTTTTTTAATTTTTTTTTTGTCATTTACCTTTAATCTCTTTCCCTTCTTCATGGTTCTTGAGGTCACTGTTTTGTTTTGTTTTTTTAATGTTGGTCTTAATTTATCTTTTAAGGAGATTTGAGGCATTTGTACAAATGGGAAAGAGCCCTACGTGTGAATTACTTTATGACTGGGGAACGACAAACTGTACAGTTGGTGATCTTGTGGATCTGCTGATTAGGAATCAATTTCTAGCGCCAGCAAGCCTTTTGCTTCCAGGTAACTGTTACTCTTGTACATTTTGTACTGTGTTGTCAGTTTTCTAAGATACTAAAGAGCTTCACAGTAACTTGAAAATCAGAAAGGATTAGGTCAAAATAACCAAAAGTGAATATATTTTCTATTTTGCATTATTTGTAATAACAGTCTAAATAAGAGTTTCAAGTTTAAATAAGAGTCCTGCAGCTTACACATGGTGGCAGAATATAACCTTTTCATGACGCTTACGTGTCATGTATTTACTAATATTAGTAAATACTGGCATTAATGTTACTTGTTTTTTCTGATTCCTAGTGTAGTTAACACTTTTTCTAAATTCCATTTTCAGAAGCTGTAAGGATGGCACAAGAAGTTACATTACCTCTTTCTTCACAGGAAACCTTGCCTATACATGACAAACAACTGCCTATACAGGAAAAAGGAGTGGCATTTGTAAAGCCTGCTTTAGCTCAGAGTACTGAGAAGCAACATTCAGCTCCTCCCTCCTTAAGTCAAGAAAATAGCAGCTCACAGTCTAGTGACACAGGTGGGCACTTAGTTTGGTAGAATTAAGTACAATCTTTTTTGATGATCTGTCCTTCACCCCATGTGAAATAAATCATAGCAATGCATTAATGACTATATTCCTATCATTGTGCATCTATGGGAAATGGCATCTTGCTTTTGCTTTTGTTCTGTGTGTTTGTGAATTTAGCTTGGATAATGAGATGTCTGAATATGAGATGCACCTTGCCAATCAGACGGTTACTGTGATGGAAAACTTGACTGTTAATTAAATAGCAATTTATTTTGTGCTACACATAATCCTGTTGCCCTTTTTCAGTACTGATTTTGTAGACTGTTTAGCATCTCGTGTTTTAAAGCTGGATTTTTCATGTCAGAAATGACTAAGAATGTTGGAGAAAAGATGACCAAAGAAAGCATTCTAGGAAAGTATATGGTTAGTGCCTTCCTAAAGGTCCACTTTTGGGTTGCTGTCAGAAACATGATGTGTTCTAGATATATTTTTACATCTGATGCAGTGTGGCGCTCTCTGATCTGCTGCACATTTAACTTCTATTACCTGTATTACAAGTATTAACAAAAAATAAAATCAGAAGGCTGCTACTGTGCTAGCTGTGAAGAAAATTATGCATAGCTGATTATATATAGTTATCTGCATTTCATTTTTATTTTCCTGGTATCTTCATCACAAAGCTGGAAGTAGGGCTCCACTATGTCAGAATTTGCATGGTAGCAAGTTTTTGGTTTAATAGAACTGAAGCAGAGAATCTATTCAATACACTTGTTCTAAAGTGAAAACATAATTATGCTAAATGGCAAATATGTCTTCCAGATTTCCATAATTTTTGGTTTCATGACTTGGAAAGTATTACAAATAATTTTGATGCACGACCAGAATCAGCTGGAGGTAATAAACTGGGAGAAGGTGGCTTTGGCATTGTGTTCAAAGGCTACATCAATGGCAGAAATGTGGCTGTCAAGAAGCTCATTGCTGTGAGTTGTCCTGGGCATTTTTCTTTTTAATGACTGTGTACTGTATAGTATAGACTTTTTATCTGTGGAAAGTGTTGAATGATACACTTCAAAAAGTGTCACCATGTTAAACATTAGTTGGGTTGAGAACCTTATCCCGTAGTCTCATGAGTGGTGTGAGTTGGCACAGTCACCAGAGATGAAGTCTTGCCCTTTCTGTAGCTCTCCTTTGAGTGGCTCAGGCGAGTTGGAATAGCAGAGTGCTCCCACAGTTCCCCTCCCTCCCGTGCGCACAAGAAGTGGCAGAAGGGAAGGGGTGCTAGGGACGTTTCCCTTTCAGAATCAGATGAACAATTCACAAGCTAAATAGGTATTGCCACAGAATTTTAGTCTTCATAACCTATGGTTTGTGTGAATAACTCATTACAAAACTAATAAGTGCTATTAGTGGTAAATGCAGTGAAATAAAACGGGTAAGTTGGTGACTGTGCTGAAACTGCATCTATTTGTCCAATAATATTGTGTTCCAAGGAATTAAAAATCATGTTCTGATACTTTATTTTTGAGTTGAGCAAAAAAAATATTGTAAACAGTTAAGTAGTTGTTACGTGTAACTAATCTAAAGAAGGGCTTACAATTCTGATTTTTTTTTTTTTTTTTTTTTAATGAACAACTGTGCATTTTAATATGGCCAGTGATACTAACGTCAAATACTTCCTTTTGTAGATGGTTGATGTCAGTGTTCAGGACTTGAAACAGCAATTTGATCAGGAAATAAAAATGATGGCAAAGTGAGTACAGTGTTATACAATGTCATTATAGTCTTTTATGGGAATCTTAAGTTGGCAGATAACACATTAGCTAGTGCGATCCCTTATTTTTGTCTTTCTAGCATAACAACGATTTTCATGTGAAGTGAGAATGTTTCATATACAACATGACTGTATTTTGTTCGTTTTAAGGCACCACTGCAGAAACCTGGCTATGTGCAGTAGGGCTGAAACAAGTAACTGGGGATCAAGTTCCCTCTGCCTTGTATTTTCCTCAAATGTTGGGAGTCTTTCAGAGCGTATGTGCATAGAATTTTTTTGCTATAGGTGTCAGCATGAGAATCTAGTAGAATTACTTGGTTTCTCAAGTGATGGTGCTCAGCCATGTCTGGTGTACGAATACATGCCCAACGGTTCATTGCTTGACAGACTTGCTTGTCTGGTAAGTAAAATCTTTTCTAGCTTCCAGTTGTCTTACTTAGCTGAAGTATAGATAGCTATGAAATACCTTTGAAACAGTACTGAACTGTAATGGCCAAATGATGTATTACTGCTTACTTCTGTGTTCTAGAAGACAAATATGATAACAAGTGTTCTTCCAATAACGTTTTATACAAATGTTTTAGACTCATTAAAGTGAAAGCAGGCTGACAACACAGTGTCGTGTACTAGTACCTGAAGTAGCACAGGAGCTTGGGCTTGCTACGCCTGTGTGGAGCGGAGCAGAGGGTGCTGCAGTATTGTTCCCAGTTCTGACATTGGCATGTTCACTGCTAGTTCTTGAGATTTTGCACTGTGAAATTGCCCTTTGTTCATTGCCCTTGTGATAGTGGTTATAACACAGTGTTCATAGTCTGCATATCTATTTCTGAAGTGCCTAAATAAATGGGAAGTACATTTTTTTTAATTAGTATTTTGTGTAAATGCAGTGCTTTCTTCTGATTTAATCAAATGACGTATCTTCTAGCCTTGGCCTTTTAATAAATAATAAGTTGCTTTGTTTTTGGTAAGGTGACTCTGTATATGAAGGACAGTTGCTTGTTAGAGTGATACCAACAGTAAGCCAGACTTAACCTAGTAGATGAGTGACCATGTTAGTTTGTTGAAGGAGTTAAAAAATCTGCTTTGTACTAAGCAAATGCAGCTTCTGAGGTTGTAATCTGGTGAACATTTTAAACTGGTGCTACTTTAACCCCCCATGCCCCCAGACCTAAAAAACATCGTTTTGCTTTTTTCTGCACTGATCTTCCTGTTACACTGGCTCAAGCATTTAGTAGTTGGAGAAAAAGCTGGGTTAGGGAACTGATCAGACTGAAGAAATACTCAGTGAAAAAAATCTTTAATTTTCACCTGGAGATGTTTCCTCTGCAAGGCTGCACAAGTACTTCTGCCCCAACAGGAAAGAGGTGGTGGTAGGATGAGAATGAGTAGCAGTGGTTAGGAAAAGGACTGGTTATGTTTGGTAGCACTGCTGTCTCAGGTTGGTTTGGTTGATTTGCTTGCACACACTTACACATTTGCAACTTTTAAATTTTTTTTTAAACTGAATCAGTGCAGAAGAGAGACTAAGTTTTACTTAAGGCAGTGCAAGTTTATCTGTAGAAATGAGCAGTGCTTGACAAGGATGTATATGAAAATGTTCATCCATGTAACTTTGGCCATTATCATCAAGTGAGCTTAAAAGATTGGTGGTAATTGAAAGCTAAAGTAGAAATAACTGAGGCCTTTACAAGGAAGAGACAAACTTATGATATAAATCATAAAGAATCTAAATCAGAATGTATAAATCAGAAAGAATCTTCTTCTGATAAAGTCGAATAGGTGAGGAATGTGCATACTGAATGTGTGTTCTTGCCGATAACTTCATTTTGTGATTTCACTAGATATGATTTGAGGCTCGGACTCTTGCTTATGTCATCTTGTCTGGGCTTTGAGGAGCAGGTGAGGGAGGTGGTAGAATGATGAGATAATCTTGTCAGCAACCAAGGGAAGATTAGAGTAAGAAGTGGTTTTGAAATACAGGTGTCCTTATTTCTAAGGTCTAGTTAGTAACATGAATTGAGCTAAACTCTTGAGAAGTGGTAAATCCAAAAAACTGGAAGATTGACTTCTCATTGTTAGTAAAAACTGTTGATTGCTTTGAATGATTTGCTTTGGATTAAAAGGCTCTGGTATAGGTGCCACTACAAAGTGGAAGATGCGGTAGATACAGGTAGTTCTTTGCAGTGCAGCTGGCCTTGTAGGGTCAGAGTCGAATATTATCAAGAACACTTTTTGCAATGGGTGAATTAATCTAAGGCAAAATACAGGGGGAAAGAACTGAATGTGACAAATGCATGTGTTTCTGCCCAAGTAAATTAAGAAATGTATGCTATTAGTCTTTTTAATGATTTACTTGAAAACCACAAAATATAGCAAGGAATCGGTTTTGGATTGTGGGGGTTTTGTATGTTTCGTTTTATGTGAGCATGTATATATTAGATTTTCACCTTTCTACTTGCTTTTCTCCCTTCTTATTCAAGGATGACACTCCACCAATTTCTTGGAATACAAGATGTAAAATTGTTCAAGGTACAGCAAATGGCATCAACTTTTTGCATGAAAATAACCATATTCACAGAGATATTAAAAGGTAAAAGCTGCTGACTATTGCTGGCTGCATTTTCCCTTTTTCCTTTTTTTATTTTTTTTTCCTCTTTTCTTTTTCTTATTCCCCCTGTTAAAGTCATTTTAGAGAGAACAAGCTGCAAGAAGCATTGCTTCGGTCAAGGGCACGATCTTTTCTGTATGTGACATCCATCACCATAATCTTGTCTGTGCCCCAAGGACATGACCAGTACAGACTTCTAAAGATAATTATGAGGCTATTGTAATCTGTTACTATCAAATCGTTACTTGAGTGCTGCGAGGACATCCAGAAGTTCTGTTCTTTCACAACTGCTGCTAATGAAAAAGCTGCTGTTAGAGAACATAATGGCTTTTAAATGGGGAATTTTTCAGATGAAAACCCACCTTTTTTTTTTTTTTTTTTTTTTTTTTTTTTTTTTTTTTTTTTTTTTTTTTTTTTTTTTTTCTTTTTCCTAGAACACTTCTTTAGAGTGTCTCCTTTGATTTACTGCTATTTATTCAGAAGACAGTAAAATTACTTCAGTCAGGTTTATGAAGTTCAGGGTTCTTCAAGGATAATGTATGTTCACTTGTTTGTTACACCAGAAATTTTTCCAGGGATATCAGAGCTCATAAAAGGTGGGGGTTTTGTTGTAGGGTTTGGGGGTTTTTTTGGTTTTTTTCCCCTTCCTTGCTACAGGTTGTTGTGTTGTTTTTTTTAAATACCAAAGCAGTCCAAATCTTTGAAGAAAAGCCCCAGATGCCTTATTCCTTCTGTAGGTTAAGAAGGAGCAACTGATTGATTGGGTGTCATGGATGAATGTTTCAATAGCTTTTTGGCTTCTGGCAACTCTGCTAAATGTAGGCCACTTTGCTTTGGTGACCTTCCAGCTTGTGAGGAACAAGGTTTTGCTTCAGCTGCCTCATAAAATGTGCTTGCTGCTTTGACAATTTATGTTTCTTCTTTCTTCCCTGCTTAAGCCTCTGTGAATGACTGGAAGGGACGCGTTTTTTACCTTATGGTACTCTACCCTTCTAACCGCTGTGAGTTGATCACATTACAGGATTGGGTTTTGGTTTGTTTTGTTTTTTCTTTTGTTTGGATTCCATTTTGCAACCTCTTGCACTTGCAGTGTGAATAGTTCAGTAAATTTGGTTGGTGTTATTAATAGTGCTGCCACTCCCAGGTAAAACTTAGATGAAGAGACATCTAAGAAGGGTTTACTTCAGTCTTCATTTTGCTGTGACGTGTGGAGACAATTCATAACCACACAGGCACTAGAACAGCTTCTCCGTAGGCTAGAGGGGACATGATTGAATGGGTGTTCTTAGATTTGTCCATAGTTTTTTGGCTAGGTTATGCCCAGGAAATAGTTTATTTACCTCTTTCAGCTTGGCAGTTGCAGTACCTTGTTGTGCCCTTTGTGGTGCATCAAAAAAGTGACCACTCTTTGGGCTTGACTCAAGTTGATAAGAAGCTCAGATTTATGAAGTTGTGATCCTGTTCTTCCTTCTTTTAGAAGTTGAGCTTTAAATACAAAACCAGTTGGTGGATGGCACTTTGACTAGTGTTTGGCCTTTTGCAGTGGTCTTATTTAATGCTATTTACAGCAGTTCCAACACCAAGTGATCTGTTGTAACTTACAGCTGTGTTAATTTTGTTGAGAAGGTTTGGTGAACAAGAAGGGGAAATTAGAAATGTAAGTTTCTAGTAAGTGTTACATGTTGTATCTGGCTATGTGGTTTTCTTATGGTTCCATTAAGGGAGTCAGAAAATGAGGACGATTACAGAAATGTTAAATCAAGTATTTTAAAATGGTTCCAAGTGCTACAAGTTTAAAAAACAGTAGAATACTTATGCTGTAACTCATCCCACTGAGTATTTTATTAAAACATTAAGGTCTTTTAGATCAGCTTCATTCTTCGGGGGTTTTTTAAGGGAAGTAAAAGCTGGAGATCAAGTGGAAACATTATTCCAGCATTAATAAGTTTTCTGTTTCTCTTCCAGGAGAAGAATAAGAGTATTAGTATTCATTTGGCATGTGAATTTGTAATGGTTGACATAGTATTAGATAATAGGTATAAAAACCTGCTTTTGTTAGTTCTGAGTAGAGATTTAGACAGTCAAGAATTGTACTGTGATCCAGTACCAGTTGATCAGAGCTAAGTATTCTCTATTATCCTTCTTAAAGAAAGAGTATTCAGATCCAAAACATGGGCATAACATAATTGGTCTCTTAAAAGAAATTTTTGTATTTGTAGGATTTGGGGGTAGGGGGGTGTTTGGTTTTTTCCTTGGGTTTTTTTGGTTTTTTAATGCATGCATGCACAAGAAAAAATGTGGATGGATCCTGGCAGCCAGTTCTTGATTTATTTAGAGCAATTCATTTTTAAATCGAGCAATTTCCAACAAAACTAACTCTCACATTTTTTGTTATATGAATAACGAATAAATATCTTAGATTTCAAGAATCAGTCAAAGTAGGAGTTTGCATTTGGTTATTAAAGAGTTATTAGTCTGTTATAAAACCTAATTACTGTACTGGTTTGGAAAATTCTCTTTTTTCCTCCCTCCCCCAGTGCAAATATCTTATTAACTGATACATATATGCCCAAAATTTCTGACTTTGGACTTGCAAGAGCATCTGTAACATTCACACAAACAATCATGACTGAAAAAATTGTTGGAACAGCAGCCTATATGGCGCCTGAAGCTCTGCGGGGAGAGATAACACCGAAATCTGATATCTTCAGTTTTGGAGTAGTAAGTAGAATGTAGAAGCACATATATATATATATGTACACACACACACTATATAAAAGTATATGACGTTTTTTGTAAATGACAAAAGCATACAAAATCAAGAATATCTGAAATTAAATAACCCACTCTGATCTGTTATTTCTCCTTTTCCCAATAGGTGTGCTTTTAAAATAGTGTTTCTAAACTTTGATTGGTTTAAAATCATTTGAATATGTGGATTAAAACATTGAATTTGCTAATGGTTACAATAATTATGTTAAAACGTAAATTTGCATGTGAAAAACCAGAGTAAAATAACATTCCAAGTTCTAGCTAAATGTAGTTTGAAGTAATGTGGAACATTGTTTCTTCTTGCATAGTATTGCACAAAAAAGTAAATCAGGCTGGAAAAAAAGAATTTTTTAAAGAAAATGTTCCTAAATTAAGTGTGTTTTACTATTTTTAAGCACCAAAAGTATGCTGTCCATGTGGGAACTGCCTTAAAGCAGAGTACAAAAAAAGACATGAGCTTAATATTTGGGAGAATAATGAATCCATTCTGAATAGATCCAAGACCCTAACTGCTATTGACCGCTTCCTTCATGGCATTTAGTTTCGTGGGGAGGCAGGCCAGATACTGTTTCTGAATACTTTGGAAATCCTGCCATCTTGCTCTGAAGCAACACAACGTAGGGTGAGGAAAAGCTTGCATTGAAATTCATAAACCACACTGCTAATAACAGTTAATGAAAATAAAGGTAGGAACAACAGCAACAACAATCGATTGTATCGATTTGCTATCTTTGGACAAATAGAGATCCTGTGAGCATTTGTTTGAAAGACTGGGGGTCATGCTCCTTTTTGCAAATGGTATATATGTGCTAAGGATTAGTCTATGCTTCATTTTCTCCTCTGATTTTTTTTTTTTTCCTCCTCCTAGGTCTTACTAGAAATAATAACGGGTCTTCCTCCAGTAGATGAAAACCGTGAGCCACAGTTACTGGTACATTCCTTTTGCTTTCTTCTCCTCTCCCGCTGCTTCAGGATCACTTTATACCAAATCATAGTCAGTTAACAGGTTCTGAGACAATCACATTAGTCACCAAAATATGTAGTTATGAAAACAGCTCTTGTGTCAATGTCTTAGAGGTGAGGCTGAAACTTTTATCTCTTGGCTGGTGGAAGATCGTTCAGTCCCCAAGGTCATCTCCTTCTGATCCGATACTGTAATTCTCTTTGTTTTGGTACCGCTTCTTACTGTAATATCATTATGCTTTATCAGCATACTCCTGTTATACCCAGATACCCTAATAGTTCCTCATTCACCAGAACATTTTAAACTCTTCATCTCAGTTGTTTCTTTATGGTTCTTTATACTTCTTACCATTCCTGTATCAATTTTCATCCTCTTCAACTTTACTAATAATTTGCAAGTACCTTGTGTTTTTAACCTTAGGGAAGTTTGGAATGTAAGGGCTTTTTTGCAGGGTGAGGGGTGGGTTGAATTTTGTTTTCTTTTTTACTATTCAGTGAGTAATTCAGTCTACTAATTAGGAAACTAATGTCTCAGAGTTCACTCTCTTGAATTAAAAATCTTACAAGGATGTTCTTAATGTAGCCTTTCATTTAGCTTAAAATTAAATTCTGAACTACTTAATCCAAGGTTTTCCTAGAATTTTTTTTGCATAAAGACTTACTTATTTACTAAGTATGAAATAGCATTGACGTTTGGATTGGGTTTTGTTCCATACTGTTTGATAGCAGATCGCTTTCTTGACAGCTTTAGGAATACCTGTGTACTATTGATAGAATTTTTTTCCTCTAAGCTGTATCTTCTGGAGTGGTATAATACTTAGCCTATTGAGCTCTGTAAGGACCTTGGAGAACTCAGTCCCTGTCAAATTGAATCTTGAGGTGTTGGGGGTTTTTTGAAGCAGGCTTTTTCAGAGATAGATAGGATCTAAAAAGGAATATAAAGTGTGATTTGACTGGTACAGCTTATCCTTCTAATGCACTTTTGGGAGCATAAAGAGAAGGGGGTTTTCTGAAGCAGGCTTTTTCAGAGATAGGATCTAAAAAGGAATATAAAGTGTGATTTGACTGGTACAGCTTATCCTTCTAATGCACTTTTGGGAGCATAAAGAGAATGGTCAGTGCAAGATAATGTGGCATCCTTAGCTTTGATAATTTTGGGGTAGTTGAATGTTAGTCAGCCATTTCAGACTGACCCATAGAGGAAGGGAGACGACCTGCCTCTACTCACTGACTTTTTATTTCTTACTTCATTTACCATGCTGACTTGTCCGAGGTGTTCCTCAAACAGTGTTTGTCATTACAGATAAGGCATTTCAAGTGTGTTGGAGCTGGAGAGCTTTGGACTAAACCAGTCAGATTTAAAAATTTATTTCAGGCTAGAAGTTTCCTTTAGAATAGATAGAGCAGCCACTGAGACTGGTGACAGAAGGCATTAGTTTACAGAAAGAGGCTTTATAAAGTTGACAAAAAAGAAATGATTCACACTTAAGCTTGCATATTTGTGGCTTATTAACTTTATGTTGATCATGCTTCTTTTAAAAAAGAGACAATAAGTATTAAGAAACTGAGTCTTCAACTGGGAGAAAGCTAAAGCTGTATGATGCAGCTTAAAGAAAACTGCTTTATAATTCTGTGTTAATTAGAAATTATTTATAATAAAAATGTATAGTCCATTTATAGTCTTATAGCCTGTTTCGGCAGGTATTGATGCATAATTATGCTGCTGAACCATTGTCACCATTCTTTGTCTACAAAAGCGGTTGAGAAAAGAAATGAACGCTCAAAAGCAAGTTTTCAAAGTGTTAGTGTGGAGTACATCACGTTCAGATGCTTACAATGTTACCTACTCATTGGTTCAAACTCTCTTGTAGTTAAGTATCAAAGATGATATTGAGGATGAGGAAGCAACTATTGAGGATTATGTTGATGAAAAGATGAGTGATTGGGACGCACCTTCAGTTCATAAAATGTATTCAGTTGCTGATCAGTGTCTGAATGAGAAAAAAAACAGAAGGCCAGACATTAAGATGGTACGTAGTCTTTCGAAAGACAAAAGGCTTATTTTGAGCGTGTGCGTGTGGTTACAGTATCTGTTATTTATATTTCTATCTGTTCTCTTGCAGGTCCAACAGCATCTACAAGAGATAAAAACTTGATACGTGTTTCTTCTGATACACAAATGTGTTTGAAATGGAGTAGACACCAGTAGCAAATATTTCATTAGTATTTAGTGCGACGTTATCAGCTTTTCTGCTTTCCGGAACTTTCTGGTCTGCATGTAAGGTGTGCTGTTGGCCTGTCACCACTGCGCTGTTTTCGTTTACTGAGCAGCCTTTTCACATATCCTTAGCCCTTGGGGCCTCAACATGAGAAAACTTTTTTTGTATTAACGAATTGCAGTGCTGGTGCATCTCCTCCACAGCTTTTTAAATGCATTTCCATATTAGAATCTATTTGATTCTTCTGATTTCCAAGTATCAAGTATGTCTGCTGCAAAGGCATGTGACATTAACGGAGTAGAATGGTTTTTTCTGCAAATTGCTTTCTTGTTCAGGTGTACTAGACCTTTTTCTATTGAAGACAACATTTAATAGATACAAATGGCACTTACGTTGTCTTTTGGGGAAAAGACAATAGTAGTACCCATTTAAAACAACCTTTACTTAGTGTTTTAACTTGAGAGTTCATAGTTGTGTGAATGGACTGGTAGTGTTTTTGAATGTGACTATTTTTCAAAGTCTTCTCGGGATTAGTTTTAGTCAAATAAATGCTGCAAGACATATTCTAGGTTGTTTTTTGGTTTCAAGGCTTCACAAGCAAAATAATTACCTTTCAGTGCAGATGCAAAAATACATATGGCTTTCTTCCAGTGAACTTTGTGTGATGACAACCCATTTAATTTTTGTTCGCAGGAAGACTCTTAGCTACTTTGAATATTTTACATTTTAGGAGAAGATTCCATATGGATTATAAATACAGATGGTATGTTTTGTTAAAGGGGCCAGAATAATAATTCTAAGACCAATTCTGCATTTTCCTTAGTCAAATAATGAAGCACTTTTTTAAAAAACATATATATGTATGTTAATAAATAAATATTAAAATACACTTTTAAAAAAGCAACATGGAAAGCTTTCTAAAATAGATACATTGACAGATCAAAGCAGACTAAAAATAGAATGAAAGTGACTAGTTAAGATTGCAGATACTTTGGACTAAGTAGGTATGAAAATACTACCGTTGTAAATGAAAGAGGTTATTTTCATGTAAACCTTTTTTGTACCTCATGAACTTTTTCTTGACAGCTTAGGGGTAGGAAAATAGTCTGGCTTACAGCTAAATTTGAAATTCCATGATTATCAAAGAAAAAGGAAACATTGAGAAATTATCTAACTGCATTCACAGATCTCTCTCTCTCTCTGTAGAAAACGTGATTTCTAACACTTGTATTTATATCATTAAATCTCTGGCTATTAAGTCATTCTGTATTGCCTTTTAAAACTGATAGTTTAATTTAGAAAAAGGTATCCACCCAAACAGCTTCTAGTTTTACTGAGCATAACTTGTAAAAAGCTGTTAACATAAATAAAAACTCTGCGTTATCATTGCAGGTGATTATTAAAACTTTGAGCCTTGCAAACGAGTCATTTTGCATTGCTTGCATTTCTGATGATAACATTATGCTAACCTCATGGAATAAAGCTGTACAGCTCTGAACCTGGGCCTGTGGAGAAAAAAGCTGCTACAAAGCTAAATCAAAATAAAATTTGCTTAAGCTATTCTTCAGTTTTAAACATCTCCTCCAGCTGTTACCTGAAGGTTATTAGATCAGGTCTGCTTTTTACTATTCCCTGGAGCTAGAATACATCCATAGTCTTGTCCTGAAGTACGTTTGCTGTAGTAACTCCCCAGTCAGCACTGTTCACCTCTGGTGCGGTAGAACAATTTTGTTTATGCACCAGCGGCGATGTTCCAAGTATTAGGAGAATCCTGGGAACTCACATGCTTATAGCTCTTCTCCTGTCATAGTAGACCGTGACTATTTGCAGTGCTGCTGTCAGCACCTAAATTTTGGCAGTGGTTTTCCCTCACTCACTGAAAATGAAGCATGTTAGCCACCGTTTCATAAAAGAAAAAAAAAAAATTTTGAACTCATTGCCTGTTATTCTAGTGAGGAATGAAAATGTGAGGTGTTAGGTAATTAGGTAAAGCTAGCTAACTTACATGGGAACTTTTTTATAAAAAAAAAAAAATAGGGGGCAAAAAAAAGGAACTTCCCCTTTCTTACCCAAGATTTTTTTTTGAGGTCTTCATACAGTAAAATCAGCACCTATAGGCACTGACAGGGGATAAGACGAGCTGACTTGCTTCATTTATTTCCTGCAAAAACATTAAGCTATCCTCGGATCCACACTTCTTTGTATTAATTACTATAGTAAAGCTTTCCAGGACACAAATCGGTAACTTGAGTCATTCAAGTTCTTTGTGAGTAAAGGCATGATCTAGTTCCATAGAACTGGAGGTGAGAGAAAATTTGGTACGGTTCCTGGTGGGTGAAGAGAGCTCCGCGTGGGAGATCTTCTTGGGATAGAGATAGGGCTGACAGGGCTGGCCTGCACCCTGTCTCGGTGGGGAGGTGCCATGGAGGGCATCCGAGGATCGCTGTCCTCGGTGAAAGAGCCAACATTTGCATGGTAAGGATCTAGAGAACTGTAACAGAAAGCAATGTAGTCACCCCCACAAGGAAGTATGGACGAAAAATGGCAAGAGTGAGTTACTGCAATTCCAGCTGAGACTCCAGAAAGAAGCAGCAGGATAAAAACAAATGCTAATAAGCCATAGAAAATTGCTGTTAAGGAAACCCCCTATGAAGGGCAACAGTCCTCCCCTTGGGTACAGCAGGAGGTAACGGAATGGCTGTTGTGAGTCAGCCCAGAGGTGTCTGCACAGCCCCGGGGCCAGGACACGAGCCATTAGTGGCTGCTGAGGAAAGAGCGCAAGAACAGGACGCGTATGTAGTGATACTGCACTGGAATGTGATGGCTTTGTACAGTTTGCAGCTCACTGACTTTGAAAAGGATGTGAGGTCTTCATTAGTTATTAAGCCTCTATCAAATTTTCTTTGATCAGTTTGTCCAGTTGCCTTTTGAGCCAACACACGTTTTTATCAGCCGTATCATATTATTGAAATGGGAAGAACTGCCTCATCTTTGTACGTGGGCTGGCCAGCTGTTTTATTTCGCCTTTTGAGCCAACACATGTTTTTATCAGCCATAGTACTTCATATTACTGAAATGGGAAGAACTGCCTCATCGTTGTACGTGGGCTGGCCAGCTGTTTTATTTAACACCCACCGACCAAAAGGCAAATAAAACTGCTTCTGATACTCCTGGTCGCATAGAGGCCTAGTCTACTCCCTCCTCTTACCTCGCTCCTGCTCCTCAAACAGGAGGAGCTTTCTTCCTGTATAGCATTTTACATTAAAACTACTCTTTTAAATCCTAGTTCAACACATCTTCAAATCTCCTTCTTTCAACTGCAAAATTGCTGTATCACCTATTTCCCCATGGGGATGTGTTGGCAGGACAGTTAAAAGAAAAGCCAAACCACTGAATGTTCTTTTCAGCTTGAATTTTGAGGGCAATAGGAAGACTTCAAGCAAACTACTTTCTGTTTAGCAAAAAAAACATTAATGGAGCAATATCATTTGAGCTGTTTAATTATAGTACCTCATGCTGAGCAAGTATAGACAACAGATAGAACTGTTAAATTACTAATCAACTACTTCAGCATTTTAAAAGGACAGAAGAACTTTTTGAAGGGGCTTATTATTGAAAGCATAAAAACCTCAAGCGATGAACACACTTGGATCCTGCTATGGAGGCCCCTGTGCTGCTTCCGTAAGGCAAGAAGGAAGTAGCTCTTTCTAACATACCGATTTTTCTCCAATCGCACAAGCCAGAACTCCGTTTCTGCCCACCTCCCTCCTTACCCTGCAATCACTTTTTCCATACCGTTTCCTTGTCCCGGGGGAACTGCCTGTTACTTACACATCATGATGTTAGAATATAAATCTTTGTTAAAGAGATTATGAAATGATTCAGACACCACCAAACTAAAGCATCAATCTTTATTTATAAAGTAAATTACAAAATAGATAAGGTAAATTTAGTTAATTTTAGCATCTGAAGGTGGTTTTCATTGAATACATAGACACTGTAAATCCAAAGTTTCCTTTATCGATGTGTAATAGAGCAATTACTACCTTGATTAGTTTTACAACCCTCTGATAGGAGTGTTTTAAAACATCAAATTCTCCCTACCTTGCAACATAAACATTTCAAAAATAATTACCTGTCATGTTAATTAACAAGTATTTAATAGCTGTGAGTTAACTGCAAGCAGCTGCATTGCTTCTGGGCTTTATGAAGGCCAACAACAATTTTGAATGGACCCTTTCAATTAGTAAATGATCAGAGACAGTACAGGAGTAACTTTCATTAATGCCCTCATTTTGTGCTGGCTCTGAACATTCATTAACAGTAGTAGTGTTATGTGAGGCAACTATGCAGATGTAAATGTGCTAGATCTCACGAAAAGATCAGATGCTGCTTATTGCTTTGTCAGGAGAACAGCTACAAGAGGCCTGGAGAGGCAGTTGGCAGTGCAAGACTTCATACAACTCTCTTTTAGGGGAAAGGTGAGGAGGAAATATGCTCAGGACATGACCCTCTGCTGGCTGGTCAGGGGGTTGTACACCCATGTAGAAGACTTTCAAGTAAGATAACTTACAATGTCTGCTTTGGGCCGAAATGTAAAGCAGGTCATTATAAACTCCCTCGCATAAGCGCTTAACCAGCTCTTGCCATCCTCCAGATTAACCTTTCTACCTCCTACTGTCATCTACCTAGAGCAGGATTGGGGGGGGGGGGGGGGGCAAAAAAAAAAAAAAAACAAAACACCAAAG